TTTTTTAATCCCTTCATCATTTAATCCGTTAAGTTTATCTAAATATACATATTAAAAAAATAAAAATTTTGTATATATTAAAATTTGAGGTGTTAAAACTTAAAAATATATATATTTAGATAAATTAAATAGATTAACTGATAAAATGATTTAAAAAATACATGTTTCATAGTTGAGGGATTAAAAAAATATATAACAAAATTAAGGGATGAAAATTATGTAGAATCTTAAAGTTGAAATATCAAAATTAATATTTAACTATTACTAAATGTAAACAGTTTGTGCCACTTGGGTAATTTATTTATTTTTTAATACAAATAATTATTCTTGGGATAACAAAATTTAAGATAAAATTTGTAAGCAAAAATATTTTGACCATTAGTTAAATGTGAAACCAACGTCATGATCTATAATTACCATAAAAAAATTGGTATTAAAAGTTGTTTCTAACCATAATTATTCTTTTAACAAATACTGAATTGTCATTACAAAAAATTTGTTAGGGTGCATGCAGAATGCAACCTTTCTTCCTCTTTCTCCGCCTATAAATATCACATCGATCCTCTCATTTCAGGGGCCTTTCGTCTCACCTTCTCCAAACACACAAATTTCTCGCCTCAGTAGAAAGGGGAAGAAATTAACTCCGAAATCATTCCTAGAGAAATGACGTCGACGACGGGCGACGTTGATCTACAGGAACCGACGACAACGGAAGAAAGCTCCCGGACGCCGGAAATAGTTCATTCTCAGCAACTCAAAGGAAAGAAACTCTCATGGCAAAACCTTCGTCCGTACGATCCTTTAGATCAACTCGAATCCGGCAAGATTTCTGGCCACCGCGCCAAGGTCAGCACTCTACCGCCGCATCGTCGTTAATTGCTCGATAACCATACATTTTCTCTGATCATTATTTTGTAACAAAAATTGGTTCCGTGAAACTGATTCCATTTTTTATTTTTTGTTTTTTGTTTTGTCTTTTTGAAGGTTGAGAACTGGTCGGTGATACTGCAACTAGCGTTTCAGAGCATCGGCGTGGTGTACGGCGACATCGGAACTTCGCCGCTGTACGTTTACTCCAGCACCTTCTCTAAAGGCATCCAGCACCCTGACGACATCCTTGGCGTGCTCTCTTTGATCTTCTATACACTCACCTTGATTCCTCTCATTAAATACGTCTTCATCGTTCTGCGTGCCACCGATAATGGCGAAGGTCAGCTCTTAATTAAGTTTGTTTTTGTTTTTGTTTTTTTTGGTTTTTTTACATCGAAGAAGTTAATTATTTAAAAGCAGAGATTCAAGTCTCTAATCATATTCTTAAATTAGAAAATTTTAAATTAATAAATATTAATTCAAGCAAACTCTCAGTCGCTGTTCTTAATTAAGATCTAATAAACGAAAACTAATTACTCTTTCAATCATCACTAATTCACTGCTCTCTCCGCTTAAAATTGAAATTAATTTTAAAATATGATGGTTTCCATCAGAAACTTTCCGTGTCCAGAATTTTCTGATCACTCCATACATGTGTCTAGTAAACATAAATTGGATCCATTTGGTGGCTTTGAATTTGGGAATTCAGCAGAAATGCAGGTTGAAATTAATTATCATGGACTATGGAGGCAAGACTGGGGAAGAAGTAAACTGTTACTGTCTTTTTTTGGGGCCATAACCCTTACAAAGTCTTAAATAGTTTCTATAAGTATATATGAGGGAGGTGTATTCAACTTTTTACGCCAGAAATCCCCAGGTGGAATAGAAAGCAAATTGCAAGTTGGGTTCTTGTTGAATTTTTTTTTTTTTT